TTCTTTACTATAAAAAAGTATTAATACTAATCATTATTATTTCTATTAATATTAATAATTTGAATCATTTAATATATCTAATTTTACTTAATTATCTTAATTATATAATCAAATATATAATTTCTATAATTTCTAAATCATTATTTAATGAATATATTATTTTCATTATGAAGTTTTTAAATGAAAAGATAATACCAATAATATATATTTTATCATACATTAGTTTTATTATGAATATTATTTCATATTATTAAATTTAACAAGACAATACAATGATTGATTAATACACATCTGATGAATACTTGTAAATTAAGAGATAATAAATAAGTTATTAAATGAAAAATATTATTAAAAACTATGTTGTATAAATTATTTGATCAATTTTAAATAACAATCAATATAAATATTTAATGAAATAAAATGAATAATGTTATTAATGAAAAATTGACTTATAAATTATTTTTATCTTTTTATTAATTGTGTTATAATAATTAAGAATAAAATAAATAGATAAAAATTAAAAGAAATGTATGAATATATAGAAAATAATTTAATAAATAGTTGAGAATGGTAAAATTATTTCATAGAATATAGAGTTATAAAACAAAGATAATATTTGTTTAATTTGTTATATTTTAACAATAAAATTAAAAGAAATGATAAATAATAAAAAGAGAGAAGATGATAAATAAAAAATATCAAGAAAAGTTATTAGATTATAATAAAAAATTAAGAATAAAATATAATAATAAATTATTATAATTTATTATTAAGGTCTTATTCAATTAAAATATGAAATTGTTGTATTAAACATTTTTCTTAATTAATTATTTAATTTTTTAATACAAATAAATGAAGAAAAACTAAATTATAACAGGTACAATAATATATTTTATAATTCTTAACAATATAACAACAAAAAAGAGAAAAATAATTATTTTAATAGAATTGTATATCAAATGAAATATAAAATGATAATAATTAAATAAATCTATTTGTTTATGAATGTTATTGTTGATACAATAATAAATAGAAATAAATAAACAAAGAGTTAAGAAATTAATGAATAAAATGAAAGTATAAATTTAGTTTATTAGAAATATAAATATTGAATCTAACATAATTTATCTTGTATGTCTTCAAAAAAGTATATTATCAAAATTGAATAATTAATTGATAAGTATTTTATTAATAATTCATACACTTTCTTATAATAATAAATATTTTGTATCAAATAGAATAAACATATTTATAACATGTGTCTTTCTGTCATTTTGATCAATTCATTTGAGAAACTTCAAAGAATAATTAATTATATTAATTTTTAATGTTTATTTGTATTTTATTAAAAATAAAATAGAAAAAAAAATAATTAAAGAAAATAACGTTATAAATAACAAAAGAACACGTGGAAATGAGAAAGCAATGAGTGGATAGAATGAAAGATTTGCATAAACAATAAACCACGTGAACATGATACAAAAGAAGAGAATGATATATAAAGGAAGTCAGAACTAAAGAAGTCATTAAATGAGTAAATATACAGGAATAGGTATTGGAATAGATTTAGGTACAACATATTCATGTGTTGGTATTTGGGAAAATGATCGAGTAGAAATTATAGCAAATGATCAAGGAAATAGAACAACACCATCATATGTTGCATTTACTGATACAGAAAGACTTATTGGAGATGCAGCAAAGAATCAAATTGGAATGAATGTTAAGAATACAGTATTTGATGCGAAAAGAATGATAGGAAGAAGATTTAGTGAACCAAGTATTCAAAAAGATATGAAACATTGGTCATTTAAAGTAGTTGATGATGGACATGATAAACCAATAATTGAAGTAGAATATAAAGGAGAAATAAAAG